TCTTGCTTACAGTCTGTCTACCTCAACTATTGTCATCTTGAGATGATCTGTCTGATGCCTTGCTGATATCTTTGATTTCCACACCAGTGACTTCATCACATTCCTGGAACTTATTCCCATGGCCACACCTCGAATATCACCATCCTGAGTTTCTCTTTCTGAAATCTTCAATTTCAATAACTGATGATAATTCTCATCTTCCTAGCTTTTTCACCTCCTCATTTTTATTGATTTTTCTCTCTTTATTCTCTCTTTCACATTTTCACAGCATCCTCCTCTTGAGTACTGCCTTTTCTCCTAAATTATCAGCCCCTTTAAGATGTTCTCCCTTTCTTATGTAGCCTCAGCCTTATGGAGCATCGACTAAAGTGCTCTCTACAGTCCCTTAAAATCTATCTTGTCCTTCAGCCTAATCATTCTGCAAGCCCTCAGCACCGAATGAATTCTGTCATCCAACTTTTCTGGATGCCAAGTTCTATGTGAAGTACATGCGGCCCTTTAAAGTGGAATCGCTGTAAGTATCTTGCCTTTAACTTCAGAGAAGCCCTCAGTATAAGCCTTTTGTTTGTTACTAGTGTGGCCCCTCTCCCTTTTCCACTATGTCTAATTCAAACCGCTAACTTTCGTCATGATTTTCTTCAGGCACTCTGTCCACTTCCCTAACATATGGCTCTTTGTCTTACAGGAAATTGAGACTATGAGGAGGTTAATTTCTATTTACCAGCTTTACCATACTCATTTTTGAAGACCAGTCTCCACTTTTTCTCTCTGCCATCCTACTCATTACCCCTGGGGCTTCTCTCTCTGCCTGCCCTTTAGGTATTGATCTTCCCTCCCCTTTTTCCTTCCTTCCTTTTTTACTTACTCTGGGTACTCTTCTTATGTGATCTCATTCATAGCCATGGCTACTTCTACTACCTATAATGTTAGCCTGACTCCCAAACCTGTAATTTGAATCCTATCTTCCCTCCTCTCTCAACCTTATTTTTAACTGCCTATTAAATACCTTCACTTAGACATCCCATAGTAATTTTAAATTCAGTATGTCCAAACCACTAATCTTTCATATAAAAATCTTTCCCATTCATGTTTTCTCTCTTTTTTTTTTTTTTTAATGCCTACAGCACCTGGTCTTCCTAGGTGGTCTCCCATCCAAGTACTAAACAGGCCCGACCCTGCTTAGCTTCTGAGATCAGATGGGATCGAGTGTGTTCAGAGTAGCATGGCTGTAAGCTTGTTTTCTCTTTTTTTGATTCTTCACAGAGCAGGGCAGTGCAGAATGCTGTAACCTAGTTTCTGCCTACCATCCGAGCCTCTGCAATTCATCCTGTGTAACCAGGTTCTAGTCTAGTGATCCTCAAACCTTTAAGTTTCAGGCATAAACATTCTGATAGAGCCTTTTGGGACAAGTAGGATCTCAACCTATCTCTGCCCCCATCTCCTTGCTTATCCTTATAGCTAAAATTATTTTTATTTAACTTAGCTCTTCAACAAATTTTACTATGAAAATACTTTATGCTTTCTAAGTATAAGGACTTAAATCATTTTTAATATGGTTTTTAGAATCACAGGCTGCCCACCTCCCCTTTTGGAGATTCACAATCAAGTGCTTCCAGTTTTTCTCCAGTGTGCTGTGGGTTTTTTCCCCTCAGTATCCTTGCAGACTATATTACTTCTGCGTGGAATGCTCTGCTCTTCTATGTGGCCAAGTGAATACCTACTTACCCTTTAGAATTCAGCCCCAGTGATATCGTGTCCATGAGGTGTTTTTTCCCAGCCCTTTGCTTCTGCTCCCTTAATCTTGCCCTCCCATGTTATCACATTGCTTTATAGTTCTTTTCCTTATGAGTTGGTGAACTCTATATTTAAAAAATTTATACATAATTCTTAATGAATGGCGGCCATTGGTAATTTTTTTTTTTAATTAATAAGAGACACGATTCTAAGTGCCGAACTCTGCGCAGAAGAGTGGCTGCTACTGGATTCCAAACTGCCATGCCCTCTACACCAGTGGTTGACAAAGCAACCTCAGAGTAAAGTATTATTCAGATTTAGAACCTGAGAAAACAAGAACTTCCTCTTCAGTAGCTGGGACCTTCTATTTTGCCTTTTGACTTTTGTGAACCACTTGGGTCTCTCACTGGTTTGTACAGTTATGGGGGTATTACTGGGTGCTCTTTGTATAACTTTTCCATTCCCCACACAATTGGAGAATAATTTGTAGGCCATAACAGCTATAATATGCTTTTTACGCTAGTGTATTACTAAACAACACATTTTTGTATGTGTTAAAGCCTACTAAGTAAATTCTGTTTCACTTAGAATGAAGTAACTTAAAGATACCAAATACTCCACATAAGGAAAGTACTTCTAATTTACTCAACAACAACTATTATGTGCCTACTACATGCCAGGTGTTGTCCTAGGCACCGAAGATATATAGCTTTGTAAAACACTCTCTTTCAGTATTTGTATTCTCATTGAGGAAATTAACACACTTTAAGAAATAAATGTATAGCATGTTAAGTAATGAGTGCTATGAAGAATAAAGCAGTGTAAGGGGCTTGTGTGACTCTGGAAAGGAGTGCTATTTTATTTAAGGTGGTTGGGAAGGCATCTCTAAGCACCTATCTACTTTAGCATTTGTGTCTTCAAATTCTACCCCTTTGGTTAAATACCTTGCACATTCAGTACATTTATAAACTTCCTCTTTTTTTATAGAAGTTCAGAAACTAAATTAAGGAGTGAGTCACTTTGTAAGACCTTGTCATTTTTATGACATAGGGTTTCTTTACAGTATGGGCTTTACTAATGGGTAAAGTCATGGGCTTTACTAAAGGTCTTGGTGTGTTTATTACACTTGGAGTTTCTCTTTTGAATTCTCTGGTATTTACTAAAACTTAAACTCCGTTAAAGCATTTTTCATAATCCTTAAATTTGTATAGTTATTTCCCAGAATGAATTTTCAGATGTCATCTAGGCTTTGGGATTTAGTTAAAGGCCTGTCCTCTTTGTGCATTTATAGGATTTATGTCTTCTTTGCTGCATTTACGGGATTTCTGGCTTCTGTGATTTTATTGCTGATTAAGGTGTAAATCATGACTAAAGACTATCCCTTCTTCCTTTTCATACAGTCAGTTGAGGTGGGAGTCATGGCTAAAACCCCACAATAAAATGACCTTCATACCTTTACAATCCCGCTGTGAATTCTGTGATGTTCATTAATGTGGGAGCTGTATTTAAAGGCATTCTCAGATTCATTTTAATGGCATTTTTTAAAACCCACCTGTTAGTTATAGACTTTTTACTTTTCTTTCTCTACCTTTCAGGGTTCCTTTTCTGGCTCCTATAAGGATACCCTATCTGCCACAGAATCCAGGATTGTATAGTTCTCTAGTATCACTTGTATTATGTTTTTAACAATATGAGATGTTATGAAAGTATTACATTAAAATAAATTTAATGTATCCACAATTAAAGTATGTGTTATGTATTCATGTTGGTGTTCTTTGCTGATTTTTGTTTTTCTACTTCTAGTGAAAATTTTCAAGTTAAAATGTTTTGGAGCATTTAAATTTTTAAAAAATAAAACCATGTTCCCATATTAGTATCGTTTGTTATATCTGGGTGTTGTGTCAGAATGAAAACTTTTATCATCTCATTTATTATTGATGTCTAAAATTATTTCTTATGGTCCTAATAATTTTCAGACAGGATAGCATGGTGGTTAGGAATATGAACTCGAGCCAGAGACCTGAGGCTAAATCCCAGCCCTGTCATTTCCTAGCTGTGGGACTATCTAAATTACTTAACCCGTCTATGCTTTAATGTCTTATTTAACACAGGAATAATAATAGTGCTTACCTAACAGGTTATTGAAGATTAAATGTGTTAATGTTCAAAAGACTTAGTTCAGTGTCTAGCACATGGTAAGAGATCAAAGAGTCAGTTATTACTATTATTTTCCTAATGTCTAGTTCTGTGTGTCAGCATACTTTGTTCATCATGCTGAAAAATATAATATTCACCTATCAGCCAGAATAATTGAATGATAAACTCTTGTTCTGCCCAGTGAGCAGTTCTTACTCCCCTGTTCTCAGTTCAAGTGGTGCTGGCCATTCCAAATGGGGAGCAGGTTTCAGAGAAGAAATCGTGGCTAGATAGGCATCTCAAATGTTTGTTATAGGTATAGCAGGAAGAAAACCTATAATTTTCAGAAAAATTTCAGGCCCAACCTCTAATGTTTATATACCCACTGTATACCAACTGATATATTTACCAATAAGCTTGATTGACTTTGCTTCTGGTACCTTTTGGTCACACTCCTAACTCACAAGTCAGATATATTTATTGAAATATTAGTCATCTATTATATATACCCTATTTAAAAACATTTCTCTAAACCGTGATAAATTCACATAATTGAGTAGTATGTAGCCATAAAAAGCAAAAAGGAATATTTCTGTATAATACTATGGGGTGGTCTTAGTGAAAAACATGATATTTAGTATTGTTGAAGGAAATATAAATATATAATCTTGTTGCTTATATTTTAAAAAGCACCCCAAACTTAGGTTACGTATGGTGGGATGGGAGGTGGTGGAGGTGAGAGGAACCAGTTGGCGGGGACCAAGTTGGAAGTTCTACTTTGAATATACCTTGAATTTTGTACATTTTCCTTTGGAACCATGTATTATATTTTTATAAAGCAAGGTGTCATCAAAATTAAAGAAAAGTAACCTCTAAAAATCCAAAGCAAAATGAAACAATGATCTGCTTCATGTATCAAGTTGGTGGCTTAAATACATAGTAACATTTCAATTATCTATAAAACACAGTAATTTTTCTGCACATCCCTAGTGGGATATCCCCAAGGACAAAAAACCGGAAAGAAACTCCTCAATTATATTAATAACTACGCTAAAGTAATTAGAAATAAGAATTTTCAGTGTGAGAGAAGAGACACTTATGAAAGTAAGCAAATGTTCTTTAATTCTAAATTTGGGAAATAACAGTATGAACTCATTTTCTCTTTATATAAAGAACACTAAGTAATGTCCAAATATCATTTCCCATTAAAATGAACCAGGGCTCCCTGGAGATAAGGCTGATTCCAGATCCTGGGCAAGGTAATTAAATGGTTGATGAGGGACAATTTTTTTTAATTCAACTAATAAAAGGAATAATAAAATGAGTAATATTTTGCAATTTGTAAATATCGCTGATAACTGCTAATCCTTGAGGTAAAAAGCTCATGAGGAATTACATAATGAATGGATCAGGCTTTTGAAACCACTAATCAATTTGAAAATTAAGAATGACTTGTGGCTCACAGTCTACATACACAATACTACCTATGCAATATTTACAAAACCAACCTAAATTTGATCAAACCTGGGACAGAGGAATGTTTCGAAGGCACCATTAGCATGCCACGAAGAAAGCCTGTACTGTGGTTCTTCTGAGAGTCTGGAAAGACCAACCTCATTTCTTTAACAAATTGCAAGAGAAAATAAAGGAGGGGGAACCAATAAAATGAAAAAGTTTTGCGGATATGTCATCCAAATGCAACATGTGGATCTTGTCTGAGTCATGATTCAAACCAAATGTAAAAATTATTTTCGAGGCAGATGGGCAAGTTAAACACTGACCAGATATTTGGTGATTTTACAGAAAATTGTTTAGGTTCGATAAATGGTACAGTGCTTATGTTTCTTAAAAGTTACCTTATTTTTAGAGACATATTGAGATATTTAGGGATGTTTGAGATTTGCTTAAAAATAATCCAGATTTGGGGATGTGTGTATTAGGTAGAGATAGGCAAGACTGACCACGTGTTGCTAAGTGTTGAATCTTATCTAGTGGTTCATTATACTATTCATTTTCCTATATATATTCAAAAAAATTCCACAATAATTATTCTAACTTATTCATTTACAAATATTCACATTTCTTTGTAAGAGCTGAGAACCATTTCACTACTTCATACCTGAACTGGTATTTTTTCTTGTCCAAGTTTTTCTTGCTCCTAGAGAGGAATGAGAAATACTGTATGGTTAATCAATTCATGGCTCTTTTTCTCATCCAGATAGCCTCACAGAACTAAGCATGCAATTGGATTGGTTATTCAACTCTAGCAATAGCATGCAAGAAAAATAATGAAACTTTAAATTCAAATGTTACAGAACCTCATTTATTGGGTTTTATTGGATTTCTGTTATTTCACATCAAGATCCCCAGATACTTTCGAAGTGTAAATTCAAGCCAATAAGCATTATGGGTCTAGGTTAGGCATTAAGCACTTTGCTATATATGACATATATGCATATATATATATGTATATATATGTGTATATATCTATATATGTATATGACAAAAGTAGAAATGAATATGTTGTGGCATATATATATATATTTGTATATGTATACACTATGTACATGTGTTCCCTATAGCCTATCACGATCTTTAAAGACATTAATAGTTTTATAAAGTTTTAGATCCAGTCTTATACTTATTGCATGATGTAACAGATAATGCTGCCTTGCTCTTTATCGAATAATCCTAAAGGTTTTAAATTATATACTAATTACAACATTAGATTGAAGTGGTGTTCCTGTAAGGAACAGAGAGATCTAGTTTTTGAGCAGTGTTCTTTGGATTAGAGTAAGTGAGGTAATCTGTTTGAAAAAGACTGACACATAGTATAAATAAATATACGTGTCTTTCCTAATAGAGACCATGCCTGTTTCAGTGTAACATAACCTTGTAATGTGGGCTATGTTACAGTTTCTTAAAGCGTTTTGAAACTAAAGCTGGACAAAGGGAATAAAATGGGTATGTTCTGAGAGAGAAACTCACAAGTGGGATTTCAGCAATACCATATCTGGTTTCTCTTCTCATTCTAGCTGTTTTTTGCTGCCCTTTTATGAGATGGATACATTCAGCAATTTTAAAAATACTTATATTTTTATATAGTGGACCTAGACTCATTTTGGTACAAGGTCCTTTATGATTGGGCTTCTGACCGCCTCTTTAATCTCAATGTTTGTTAAGCTCCTTAAAAAACAAACAAACAAAAAACGATAAATTGGAAACTGAAATACCAGCAACCAAAAAAGAACCTCCACACCTAGCATGGCTGTGCCGAGAAGGAGGCACTGGGATATTAAACCCAGGATAATAACACAGGGCCATCTATTAAATAAGTAGGAGTCGCCTAGTAGGTAAGGTGGAAATGGGCCTCAGACAGAGGGAAAATCTTGGGTGAAGTAACGACGTTATAATGGAACAAGAGATTTCATAGCAACGGGTGAAGTTAGTATGGCAGAGGTTCAGGCTTGAAGTGAAGGCGCAGGGATGGTTGGCCGGAGCTTCTCGAGCGGCTCGGAACCACACGCACTGGGACACTACTCCTCTCCCTTCCCGGCTCCAGAGGCGGAACCGCTGGGAGTGGTGGACCAGGCCGACAGGGGGGAGGCCGCGGCGGGGCGACGGACTGGCCCCGGAGGCGGACGCGTCGGCGTGACCGTGCGGCACGTCACGTGCGGCGCCAGCGGCCATGGCGGGAAGCGAACCACGCAGCGGAGGCGTCTCCCCTCAGCCGCACCACAGCGACTGGGGCCGCTTGGAGGCGGCCATCCTCAGCGGCTGGAGGAACTTCTGGCAGTCGGTGGGCAAGGAGCGGGCAGCGCGGAGCACGTCCCGAGAGGAGGCGGATGAAGAGGCCAGTACTCTAACACGGCTGCCGGTGAGCGTCGGCGGCCGCCGCGGAGAACCAAGCGGCCGGGCGGGGAGGGGCGCCTCGCCTAGGCGACCTCTGGGGGTATGGGGCCTTCTCAGCGTCCCTGTCTGTGTCTGGCCTCGTCCCTATAGCTTTCTGGGCAGTGTCATCACCTGGGAGCCACAGTGGACCAGGCCTTGACCTCGTGCTCCGCAACTAGGTCACTGTCAGATTTTCTAGAACAGGTTTTGGTACTAGGGATACCCTGAACGTCAGGTTGAGTTAAGGAGACCATTCCAGACTTTCTTATTAGTTTGGAAAAGAAGCATCCTGTGTTCTCAGCACCTTTCATACCAGCTCAATGTACCGAAACACGTGGTAGTCACTAGAAACATTCGCTATTATATTAGCGTTTCTATACTTAGAGTAACAAAACTTCTACTCTTGAAAATAAATGGCCAAGTTACAAGTGCCTCAAGTTACAACAGGCCACTAGTATCATACACATTATTTATTGTTAAAGTTTTCAGGTAGGTTGGAAAATGGAAAGAGGATCTTAGACATTATTAAAATTCTGTATCTCAACTGGACTATTGACACCTACCTCTGACGTCCATCAGAAATTGAAAACTGCAATGTCTCCAAGCTTCTTCCTATTGCATAGGTCCTTTGAAATAATTTAATAGGTTTTATAAAGGAACTCAGATGACAAATTTACTCTTTGATTTGATCTAATGATAAAATCAGAAGTTTGTCCATGTAATAAAGTTTTATTTTAAAGAATAAATTATTTCCTTAAGTAATTTACTCAAATGGTGTGGCAAAATATCCATGAGAAAAAATTAAACGTTATTTTGCTTGAAAAATGCGAGAACAATGGTTGAGTTTTCAGGAATGTTTCAGTGTGTCAAAAATTAAGTGTTCAGTTATGATTCTCTCCTGACAGCAGGAAAATAACTTCAGAATGATAGATTTAATCATTAAAAATACTATTAAGTTGATCTTTGGTTATCTAGTGTAATAATTCTTTGTTAATTTTGTATTTTATAATAGATTTAATTAAGAAGACTGTTCAGTTGACCTTTGGTTTCCTAGTATAATGATAATTTTTTGTAATTCTTGAAATTTTTTTCTAAGATATATTATTCATCCCTTTTATCTACTTGCTGATTTCCTCTGTTTCAGATTGACGTACAGCTGTACATTTTGTCATTTCTTTCACCTCACGATCTGTGTCAGTTGGGAAGTACAAGTCATTATTGGAATGAAACTGTACGAGATCCAATTCTATGGAGATATTTTTTGTTGCGGGATCTTCCTTCTTGGTCTTCTGTTGACTGGAAGTCTCTTCCTGATCTAGAAATCTTAAAAAAGCCTATATCTGAGGTCACCGATGGTACATCTTTTGACTACATGGCAGTGTAAGTATCTAGTTTTATAAATTAAAGATTTTAAATTTTGCTATTATAAGTCAATAGTCCTGCTACTAATTTGTTTCATAGATTTTGGAGCTTTTTTTTTTTAAATCGAGGGTAAAGTTAAATAACTTCCTTCATGGAATACTTTCAGCTTTCACATTTTGTTATTTCCCTGTAATGCCTAACTAGAGTATTTGAGTAAATATAGTTTATATGTCAAGAAGTGAAATTCTTAAAAATTTCATTATCTTTAGAAAATTTGTCACTTTTAAAAAATAGTAATACCTTTTCATATCCAAAAAGGACTGGCCAGAGATCAGAAAGCAAAGAAAAACATTTTCTAGGTTCTGGGAAATGAGATTTTATTATTACCCCAAACTATTGATATTTCAAATATGTGAGAGAATTAATGTTACTGAGCTACTAGATTCTATGAGGGTTGCTTTATGTATATTTATTTAAACCTTACCCAATAGGATGGTATTATCCATGGAATTGAGGTTCACCGTGGGTTATGGATTTGCCTAAGGCCATATAGTTCACCATGGGTTATGGATTTGCCTAAGGCCATATAGTTCATAAGGGGCCGTTCAAATTGGAACCCCATCATGCTACCTTAGAAATATATAACATCATTGGATATGAATTTAACATGCTTTATTGAGAGCCCCAAATTTAAGGCATTACAAAAAAGATTTTAAAATATTTCTGCTTAAGTTAAGAACTGTTTTGCTGTGCTAGACTTGGTAGCTATGGAGGATTTTTTCTCATATTTTATTTAAGCTATTCAGAACTTTTCCTTATTCCAATCCAGATGCCATTACATTAAGCCTTGTGAGATTGCTTGATTAAAATGCACATGATATGCTCTTAATTTCAACAAGTGCTATGGTAGTCTCATTTGCGGGGTGCTACCTCTACATCATTCTACAACCAGCCATAGCATTAAGTATATCGGATGCTGTGGAACCAGATTTTCCCCAGGGATAGTAGTAATTATAGTAACTACCTTTTGTGTTCATATAAATTATTTCTTATCCTTTCAACCCTGGGTTGATTACTATTGCTCAAATAATGCAGTTGAAAAAACTGAAGTTAGACTAAAAGTGGCTTATATAAATATTTAAAGTAGTGAGGCTTGGCCAGATCTATATTGCTTCAAAAAGATGATTATGTTGTTAGGTTAGTAATTTTCTTAACCAGATTGGTTTAGTTAAAGGGCATTAGATTTTATTTTGATTTGGGTAACTGTGTTTTAATTTTTGATAACATGTAGAATTGCTAGTTTAGAAATTGATAGCTATTGAAAGAAACTCAGTTGTTTCTTTTATATGATTCTTAATTTGCCATGTTATCTGTAAGGAATATTTGAGCTTCCCTATATATTTAAAACTTATTGAACTGTTAACATTTGAGGTTGTTAATAGGAGTACCTAAAAGATTTGATTATATTGGTGGCCTTAGTAATTTTTTTTTTAACCTCTATGGACATTAATGCTATCTGTATAGTTTATCTTTAGTGCAGTGTTTCTCAGTCTTGGCACTGTTGACATTTTGGACCAGATGTTATGGGAACTGTCCTGTGCATTGTAGGATGTTTCATAGTATCCATGGCCTCTCTCCACTAGATGCCAGTAGCACTACTCTACTATCTCCTTGTTGTGATGACAAAAATGTCTACAGATACTGCCAAATATTCCTTGGGGTGGGTTGGATGGAGCAAGCAAAATCTCCAATTGAGAATCACTGCTCTAGGTAGTAAATTTTAACCATTGAAACAAATGTTAGACCAAATGTTCCATGAGAGAATCTAAATGAAAGATTAGAAAGTAAGTCACCACTTCCTGGGGAAGACGCTCAGTTTTTGGACCACTACTACTCCCATAGTGCCTTGTTCTTTTTCCTTGTCACGGTACTTGGCATACATATTAAAATGATGTTTGTCCTCCGTTACCCTCAAAAAGGATTGAGATTATATAAATTATTATATCCCTTGTGTCTAGCAAGTTTTCACATTATATGTTGTTGAATGAATAACTGGCTTAGTAAGTTTTTTTCTGTGTTAATTTTCTAATTGTGACAATTTTATACAGCTATAAAATGTGCTGTCCATACACAAGAAGATCCTTGAAATCTAGCCGTCCTATGTATGGAGCTGTCACCTCATTTTTACACTCATTGATCATCCAGAATGAACCACGATTTGCTATGTTTGGACCAGGTTTGGAAGAATTGAATACATCTTTGGTGTTGAGCTTGATGTCTTCAGAGGAACTTTGCCCGACAGCTGGTTTGCCTCAGAGGCAGATTGATGGTAATGTTTATGTTACTCTACAGTACCTAATAATTCAACACTTTGAGTTTGATGCTAATGTTAAATAGAAAGCCATTTTTAATTAACTCTGATGTATTGAAATACAGTAATTTGGTAAATGGGAGCCCCCAGGTCCCAGTGGACTGAAAGAATTAATTTACTTTTTATAAAAGGTAAGCTTCCTCTTATTTCTTCAAGTTTATGTAATCCAGAATATAAGATATGGAAAAGTAAGTTATATGTTGCCAAGATAGTATATTTGTACAGTATTTACCGTATTTTAAAAGAATGTTAATAGCAAAACCATTTAGCATTTATTGTGTGCATAGTACTTGCATATACTGTATATTAAAATTTCAGAAACTAAATTATTTTCCCCTTCTTTGGAAAAAAAAAAAGACAACAACCATGTAGTTAGTTGGTAAGTAGGATATGTAATAAATATAAATAACAGTATAGTCTGGCTTATACTTTACTTATTCATTTATTGAGAGCACCTATTAGATGCTAGAGATGCAGAGATTTAAAACAAAGAACATCAAAAATCTTTGTCTGCCCTGAAGATACTTGGTCTAGGTGAGGGCAGCGACAAGTGTACAGGTGATTAGAATATGGCATCATTAGCTCCTGGGTATAAAGATAAGGGTCAAAGAAGGCTCCACATTGAAGAGGATGCCTCACATAAGTCATTAGGATGAGTAGGAGTAGGCAATCAAAAAAAAAAGGGTAAAAGTATTCTAGGCAGTGAGAACTACATTTCTGCAAGCACAAAGCTCTGAGTGTGCATGGCACACTTGAAGTAGCTCTGTGTGTCTGTAGTGGGGCTAGATGACAAGATACTTATATACCATGCTTATGCCTTTGGAAGCTGTTGAAGTATTTTCAGCAGAGGAGGGAGATGATCAAGATTGAATTTTAGAAAGATCACTTCAACTCCTGAATGGGAAATTGGTTAGAAGGGGCTATAAAGACATGACGACTCATAAAGAAACTCTTATAGTATTGTGATTAAAAATATATATATATATGGAATTGACTGAATGTGTAGTAGTAGTAGTAAGGATAACTCTAGGTTGCTGGTGTGGTTTTCATACTGGATAATAGTGCTATTCACTAAGATAAGGAAACACAGGAGGAGAAGAGAAACTTGAGGGATCTGTATAGGGAGAGTGACAGCCACTCTCTGGAAAGCGTTGACTTTGATAATGTTGAGAGATACGAGTAGAGATGCCCACTATGAGCAATCCACTTGAACGAAAGCTCCTTTAGAGCAGGAATCTTGTCAGCTTTATTCTTAGCTCTATCTAAATGCCATACACATAGGAGGCACTCAATATATATTTGATGAATGAATGAACAAAATTACTTTATGAATTACTTTGTGCATCCAGATTTCAAGAGCAAGATCTGGGCTAGAAATCAAGATTTGGGAATCATATGGAGTCCACATGGACTTGGAAGTTTCTGAGGATAGAGAGAAAGATTGTGAACCAGGTGTTGAAAGTTTCATTGAATGTTTGGAGGAAGGAATTATCAAAGGGAGATTTACAAATGACAAAGTCAAGGAAGGGGAGATGGTAGTGTATCTGAATGGTATGGGTGTCTCAGTGAGATGGGAGATTTTCAAGAGGGTTGGTCAGTAATAGTTAAGACATAGCAGTGGGGAGTAAAGAGAACATTACGTCTTTATCCTGAGATGTGAGAAAATATGCAGCCTTGTTACTTGAGAGTCTACTGCAAGAAAAGTAGCACCTCGGGACAGGTCGGTTTCAGGTAAGGCCATGAGGTAGAAGGAATGCTTCAAAAAGAGATTGGGAATATGGAGAAATTTGCTGATTACAAAATTGCAGTTTCATTCTCTAGACAGCAGCTGGAGTGATTGTTAGAAAATGCCAATCTAATTATGCTTCAAACCTTGCAAGACCAGGGAAGAATAGAGGGAAGGGTCATTGGCAAGGTGGTGCAGAACAGCGTGGAGATCACATTGGGCTGAGGTTAGATGTGTTGAGAGGGTAATCTCTGGAAGTTAAATGGACAAAAACAAAGATCATGATAGAATTTGTTTCTGTGATCTCTTTAGAGGGTTTGTGCACCAGGCCTGGTGGCCAGAAGACTCAGGTCATTTTGCTATTCTTGCAGTACCAGCCAACAAGATCTCTGTATATGTGTTGCCTGGAATGGTGACATGAGATGGCATGGCACAGCTTATTTGCACAACTGTATTGGTTATAATTCAGGGATTAAGATGAGGTAAATAGAAGCCATATTATTTAATGTTTTGTTTGTCTGAAAAGCAATGGTTTTGAAGGGAAGAGACCTAATTGAATAGGCATTTTTAAGCAATCTCTCCAGCTGCTGTCAGAAAAATCATAGTAGAGAGCAAAAGTGGATGTAAGAGACTGGTCAGAAGTAATCACAGAAGTCCAGGTGAGGGATAATAATGATTTAGATTAAAAGGTGGGAGGATGGAGAGAAGTGGACAGATATAAGAGAATATTTATATAGCAAAAAGAAGTAGAGCCATGGAAGAAGAAAAGGATCTTTCCAAGAGACAAGAGGAGAATCAGCCCCTTTAAGGGTATTAACACAGCCAAAGGAAGAAAGAGGTTTAGAAAGAAGGACAAATAACAATGTCGAATGATTCTGATCTAAAGTGGTAAGAAGCTAGTACTGTTTAGCACCTGTTATCTACCAGTCACTCTTAATAGGAGTTTTACATAAGTAATCTTCTTTAATGCTTACAATAATTCTAAGAATTATGTTATTACTATATTTTCATGACAAAATTGAGGCTCACAAAAAACATGGTTATATGTGACAAATTCAAGATTCTAACTTGTCTAATTTTAAATTTTAGTATCTGGCACATTTCCTCAGTTTTTTAAATTGCCATTTGGTGACTCCCCATCAGTTTAAAAATGGCTTTTCAGGGAGAGAAAAAAAAAACATTTCATTAAATGTATACATGGAATATAAGACTAATGAGAAACATAAAAATGTGAAAATGAGTCTTAGTCCTGAGGATAAATAGTAATGGCTGTTATGATGTATAACTCCTACTGATAAAATTAATGATGATCGTGATGATGAAATGAAGAGAAATGTTATAAACTTAGTAGTAGTTTGTTCTTTATGTTTTTCTTATTATGTGAATGAAAATTGCAGACAGCATCTTTTTTACAATGCAAACATTTCATTTTATTCCCAAGCTATATATATAACTTGTCAGAATTTTTTGTTTGCTTTTTTTGCTTACACTGGGTAATTTTTTTTTTCATTTTGATCTTTTGCTGTCTTTATTAATGACTTGTTTTGATAACTGTAATTTTCTCCTTTAGGTATTGGATCAGGAGTCAGTTTTCAGTTGAACAACCAACATAAATTCAACATTCTGATATTATATTCAACTACCAGGTAAGACTACCTACTTGATGACTTATGTGAGACATCAAGACTTCATTTTGAAATGAAAGCATTTCAAAAATGAAGGATGGAGCCTGTTATGTATCTGTCGATGTTTAATATTTACATTTTTCTTATAGAAAGGAAAGAGATAGAGCAAGAGAAGAGCATACAAGTGCAGTTAACAAGATGTTTAGTCTACAGAATGAAGGGGATGATCAACAAGGAAGCCGGTACAGTGTAATTCCACAAATTCAGAAGGTGTGTGAAGTTGTTGATGGGTTCATCTATGTTGCAAATGCTGAAGCTCATAAAAGTAAGCATTCTCTTATTTTCTTTTTAAACACACTTTCTTTGTAAAGCAAATGAGAAAGTATGTTTTTAGGCTTTACTGTGGCTTCTTAAGAACATAATGGTTAATTTTATCAATGTGATTCTATGACCATTACTGTAAATAGTGAGTTCTTAAACCTAGATGTGCATTAGGATCACCTGGGTAGCTTGTTAAAAACACAGCTGCTTGGTTCTTACCCTGGTGAATTATGATCCATAGATTTGGATTGTGTCTTGGGCATCTGTTTTTTTTTAACCATTACCTTCAGAATTCTGATGCATAACAAAGTTTGACACTATAACTGCATGGTATTTTTTTGTTGTATCCTTCTGCACTTTTCCTATTGCTGTTTTGTCTGCTTCTGGCCCCATGCAAATAATTTATGCAAATAACTGAAAAACTTTACCTTTGTTTGAATTATTCCAGATAGTAGAGAGATATTTGGGGGCGGAGTATTTAATAAGTATTTAAGAACACTCTCCATATATTCTGAGTAATTGCCATTCACAGTGCTACATAGGTATGAAATCAAAATATTATTGGGCCAATGTCAGTGTTGTAATTTCCTCCTCAAATCCCTGTTAACAGGGCATAAATATATAATATTGTTCTCACTCAGAACTAGCAGCCCATTGCTGAATGGCCTAACAGAAGAGGCATGCCCATTTCTGGGAGTAAATCCTCTTTACCTCAGTTTCTGCTCTTCTTCTACATAAAATATCTACCATTAAATTAGAAATTATGAGACACGCAAGAAAAATCAAAATGAAATGACCCGTTGTTAAGAGATAAAGCAGTTAGTGGAACCAGACCCAGAGATCACCTGGATGCTTACAATCTCAGAAAGGGACATTAAAATTAACTATGATTAATATGTTAAAAGATCTAGTGGAAAAGGTAGACAATATGTGTGAATGGAGAGAAATTTTTGGCAGAAAGAAGGTATGAAAGAGATGGGAATGCTAAATATGAAAAATATAATAGGTGAACAGTTCCTTCAGTGGACTTAGCAGCCAAGGAAATGTTCAGTGAACCCGAAGATAGATCAGTTGAAATTATCCAAATTAACACAAACAGGAAAAAGAGTAGGAGTTGGGGAAACAGAGCATCCAAGAGCCAGGGGAACCTATCAAATGATCTAATTCAGAGGTCAGCAAACTTATTTCTTAAAGAAGTTAAGTATTGTAGGCATATGAGCCATGTGATCTCTCAAAGTTACTCAGCTCTGCTGTTATAGTGCAAAAGTAGCCATAGATAATTTGTAAATAATTGGGCATGGGTGTTTTTCAAAAAAAATTTATTTATAAAAACAGAGCTGCAGAATGTGGTATGCCAACCCCCGGTCTAACTTATATATATATATATATATTTAGAATTCCAAAATATGAAGGGAGTAAGAACAGGGGAGAAGGAAATTTTGAACAGATAATGGCCAAAATTACTTCAAAATTTCTGAAAAACAAGCCACAGATCCAAGATGCTCAGAGAACTTCAAACCTGATAAATAAAATGCATTTAGATACATCATAGCCAAACTGATGAAAACCAAAGATAAGGAGAATTTCTTGAAGGCAGCCAAAGTAAAAGGAAATAAACATATAGAGGGCCAAAGATAAGAGCAGAGACTTCTTGACAGAATTGCTGTAAGCTAGAAGGCAATGAAGAGAAATCTTTGCAGTATTACAAAGGTCGGGGAAACCTTACATCCACGGACTTTCAAACTTCGGTATGCATCAGAATTCTGAAGGTGATGGTTAAAAAAAACAGATGCCCAAGACACAAATAAATCTTTCAAAAATGAAGACAAAATCAAGACTTTTTCAGACAAACAAAACCAGAGAAAATTCATAATCAGCAGATTTGTGCTACAAGAAATATTAAAGGAGCAGGCAGGAGAATATGATTCTAGATGGAAAATTACATCTACTAAAAGAAGTGAACTCTGGAATGGAAACAGTATAGCTATATATAAAAGATTTTTTTCTAATTTTAATGTCCTTATTATGTAAAAGAAAATAGTAACAGTATATTGTTGATATATGATATTTTAAATTAAAACATGCTAAAAATACAGCACAGCATGGAAGGGAGGAGATGGAAATAAACTATTATAAGATTCTTCTACATGTGAAATTGTATAAAATTATTTAAAAGTACTTTGTAAATCCTTGAGCAGACATTAAAATGTAGCAGAGGTATAATTTAATAAGCCAGTAGTGAAGATAAAATGGAATATTTAAAAACCTCAATCCAAAAGAAGACAGGAAAAGAGAGAAAAAAGAACAAAGAACAGAAGGACAAGTCAAAATCCAAGAAGTATATGATAGATTTAAATGTACCATGTTGATAATTACATTAAATGTTTGTTTTCCGTTAGCACATAAAATCTCCAACCTAGTGGCTTAAAACAACACCTATTTATTAGTTCACAGTTCTCTGTCAGAAGTCTTAATTATGGCATGGCTTTGTTCTCAACTTAGGATCTCATAGACTGAAATTAGGGTAGTTGATGGGTTGCATCTCTTTCTGTGGAGGAGGCGGGGAATCTACTTTGGCTCACTCAAGTTGTTGGCTGAATTCAGTTCTTTAATGTTATGGGACTAAGGCCCCTCTTTCCTTGCTAGCTCTCTGCTGGGGACTGCGGTCAGCTTCAAGAGGCCATCTTCATTCCTTGCCATATGAATCCTTGTATCTTCAAATCCAGCAGTGGAGAATCTCTCACCAGGAAGAACCATATCCCTTTAAGGGCTCACCTGATTAGGTTAGGCTCACGGAGGAGGACAATAATATTAAATTAAGGCTACTTAATTTAATATTATGACAGATCAATAAATAAACAAAGCAATAGAGACACTTTGTCATGTTTGGATTCTGGTTATTTTTTGGTTTCCTTGTTTGGTTAATTTTTAATTTTATCATTTTAATCATTACAAGTAATGCAATTAAGAGTTTTGACTACATTCCTTAGGACATGAATGGCAAGATGAATTTTCTCATATTATGGCAATGACAGATCCAGCTTTTGGATCTTCAGGAAGACCAATGTTGGTTTTATCTTGTATTTCTCAAGCAAATGTAAAAAGAATGCCCTGTTTTTATTTGGCGCATGAGCTACGTCTGAATCATCTAAACCACCCATGGATGGTAAGATACTATCTTCTTTGGCAAGAAAAATCTTATTTTATTTTTCACTCTGTAATTTATTTAATTTTATTCTTTCTTATTTTCTTTAACGAAATAGCACTCTAAAGTCAGTTTTAATAGCTTAATTGGTATAAGATATTTGATGAGTGTCACTAAGTCTTAGCTGATCATTTGCTCCCTATTTGCCTCTCCTGTCATGCATATAGTGAGATATTGGGGATTGTTTTTTTAGATGCCACTATCATGATTTTTCAGCATTTATGTATTATGTTTTAGCGCCATCACAAATATAGATTCCATCTTATAGTTTCTTGCTCTCCAAATTTTCTTTGGTCATGGAATCTTTTCATCAAATGAAACTGTACATGAAAGCCCCTACATAAAATAGATAAAAGAAAATTTAATATTGGAAATATTTTTGCCAAGAAAGAGGTCTTTTTGCCTCCCCCTCTCCTGTCCATGAAGCCCTGGAAACTCTTGGAACAGTTTGAAAGCTACCTTCTTGAGTGATGGGAGTTTTAGCTTATCATTAGGAGGAGGGGCAGTCTTTTTGCAACAAAATGTCACATTTATCAGCTGGGTTCTGACTATGTAGGTTCATTCAAAAATGTTTTTGTTTTCAAAATGGATCCTTTGGAGGAATTTTTTTTTTCCTAATACATACAAACAAGTCATGGAAATGGTAGATCTTCCCATTTCCAAAGCCGAGTTCCAAAATAAGCTAGAAGCTTCATATTGGTAATTATTATGACATAAGAGATCTTATTTTCAATTTAAGCTCTTTAGAAGACAAAACTTGAGCGACTCATCAAAGTTTACTGGGATTCCTTTAGTTTTTTTTTTTTTTTTTTTTTTTTTTTTTTTTTTTTTTTTTTTTTTTTTTTTTTTTAGTGTCTAGAAAAATGTTCCTCATAAACATAAGATTTTGGACTTAGTTTCCTACTGATAACAGTCTCTTTTATCTGCTCATAGGTTCAGGATACAGAGGCTGAAACTCTAACTGGTTTTTTGAATGGCATTCAGTGGATTCTTGAAGAAGTAGAATCTAAGCATGCAAGATGATCATTTTAGACCTTGGGAACTGAAAAACCATTTGAAACTTGTTACTAAGGCCATGATGTGGATATTTGCTCACTCAGCTCATTTTGTCCTGCTCTTTTGCAGGTAGGCTTTATATTGGATGGCTGTAGCTGCTGTGTTTTTAATATAATTTTTGCTTTTACCTTAAATCAATTACAAAAAGTTTCAGTGCTAGCATTTAGCCCCCAAATGAACCTTTTAAGATTTTTTTGATAATTTTTCTATTTTCTTTTTTTAAAAATATTAAATTCTGTAAAAAAAACAAGTTTGTGACTCATTCCTTGTGATTTCTTTTTTTTTCAGTTCAAAGATTGCCCTAGTTTTCTATAGGTTCTTTTCAAGGGTCCTTTAATGGTTATCAGAAAAGAAGTTTTTATCTACTTTAGTAAATATACTGCTTAAAGACTAGAATAGTCTGTAATTTCGTTTAATATTATGATTACAATTTCTGTTTTTTTTTTCTGAAACAGTAAAAGTTAACTTTATATCATATTTAATACTGTTTAACTGAAAATAACTTTTCCTGGAAGTTCATGATATTTTCAGATAACTTTGAAAGCTCATAAGGTACTAAAGCCACATTTTATTCCATACTCAGAAAACATTCCAGAGATTTACAACATCATGACCTCCTCTCACAAATTGCTTGCACTTTGCAGAGGAAACATTATGGCCCTCCTATCTCATTGGAAATGAGGAATTTTAATATAATAATAAGAGCATAGTATGTCCTGGTGGTGCTGTACCCAAAATTGAACTTTCATCCCATGAGTGGGAGCTATTTCGAAGAAGTCTCCCACATCTCAGATACACTCATCCAGAACTTAGCTTTAGCAACATGTAGTTGGGGACAGGATGAGAAATTCTGACATTCTGCTCCTCCCAGGAAGTCTTGGAGAGGGAATCTTGTTTCCTTGGCTGCTATAGTCTAGATTGGAGTTTCCATCTTGCTGAAGGAAATAGAGAGTGGGTCTTGTTTCAGATCCCACAGACTATTGCTGTTCTTACTGAGTTTTAACAGACTCTCTTTTTTTGAATAAATGTTTCTTTAATTGCTGTATGCTCTTAGGACCACTTATAGAGACTTAGGTTGTTTTTTAAAGTAATTTTTTTTGTTTTTTCTAGGGAGTTATATCATGGAACTTCTCATGCTGTTATGCCAAAAGTGGATTCCTTTTTTTCCTTTTAATATGTGTAGTTGTTACATCATTCATTCCTGATATTGGTATTCTCAAAGAACCAGCTTTGGATTGTACTGATTTATTCTATATTCTATTTCATTGATTTATACTCTAATCTCTATTTTTCTGCTTTTTAATTTTTCAATTTTTATTTCATTTTCTCTTAGTTTATTAAGATAGAAACTTAGGGTCATTGATCCTGTCTGCTAAATTCCAAGTTGATTTTCTTTTACTAAGGGAATGGGTGTCATTCTCATTTTTCTTTGTATGTTGCAGAATTTTGTATACTGGAATATATGAGTGTTAAGTTATGTAAACTCAGGATTCTGCAATTTTCTCCTATGAGTGATACTTTTTATTTAAACAATTAATGTGGTTAGACATAAATTGCAGACTCTGTCCCTTGGGCAACAGGTCTATTCTCAGTTCAAGTACTTAAAGCTATAGATTTTCTCATAAACTCTCTTTAGCTGCATCCACCCTTTTGAAATATTGTGTATTTATTATTCAGTTAAAATATTTTCTAATTCCTTGTGATTACATTTTCAACTCATGGATTATTTAATATTACTGTTTTATTGTTGTTTAATCTTTAATTCCTAGCTATTTTATTGTTATTGATATCTAACTTAGTTCTCTTTATCAGAGAACATACTCTGTAAAATTTCAGTCTTTTTAAATTTATTGAGACTTGCTCTATGGCCCAGTTTATGGTCTGTCTTGGTAAATGTATCACATATGCACTTGAAAAGTTTATATCTTATAGTCATTAGATGGAATATTTTATAGGTATTAGGTCAAGGTAGTCGGTAATGTTCAGATATTGTATATGGCTTTGTTGATTTTTGCATAGTTTTATCAATTACTAACAGAGTCATTGAAATCTTCAACTGTAATTGTAGAATTGCCTATTTTTCCTTTAAATTCTGTCGATTTTTGCTTCATTTTGATGCTGTTTTTAGGTTTGTACACGTATATGATTGTTCTATTTTTCTGATGAAATGGCCTTTTTGTAATTATGTAATGCTCTTTTTGCTGATAGTACTCATTGTCTTAAAATCCATTCTCTAATATTAACATAACCACTTCAGCTAAAAAAAAAAAATATCGCTCTATTGGTATATCTTTTCCATCCATTCACAGTCAACCTGAATCTATCTTTATATTTTAAGTGTTATCTCTTGTAAATAGAATATAGTGAAGCTTGCTTTTCCTTTTTCTATTCTGGTAATACCTACATTTTAATTAGAGTGTTTAGATTATTTATATTTAATGTGATTATTGATATGATTGTGTTCAGATCTACCATTTTATTATTGGTTTTTTATTTATCCCTTCATTGTTATTTTTCCATTCCTTCTGTCCTATTTTGGATTATTTTAATATTTTTAGAAATCAATTTAAATTTTCTATTTTTTTGGATATCTGCATTTTTTTAGAAGTTGCTATAGTGATTGCTGTATATCTCCCTAGTGTTTCAAAGATTTACTTAATATTGTACTAATTTGTGTAATCTGCGGAATGTAATTATGTAAGTCCAATTATTCTTTCTCCTACTCTTTTTGCTATAGCTGTTAAATGTGTTACACCTACATATAAGTTCCAGAAAACAGTGTTTCAATTTTTGCTGATATAGTCATATATATATTAAAAAGAAATTAAAAGAAAAAATAAAAATAATGCAAGTAGTCTTTTTTTATTTTTTAGATACATAAAATCCTGGGTTGACAGTTTTTTCTTTCAGTTCTTTCAAGATGTTCTGTTCTCTTCAAGCCTCTGTAATTTCTGTTGTCATTCACTAATTGCATCTTTATTCCCTTGTATGTAATTTGTCTATTTTTTTCTTGCTTTCAAATTTACTCTTTATCTTGGTTTCCAATAGTTTCACTACAGTGTACCTAGGTATGGCCTTCTTTATTTAGCTTGGGAGTTATTCAGCATATTGGATATAGAAATTTATGTTGTTCACCAAATTTGAGAAATTTTGGCTTATAATTCATCAAATATATTTTCCCATTCTCTCCTCTTTTTTTCCCCTTTGAGTCTCTGTTGTGTAATACATGTGGTACCATTTGTTATTACTTAACTTGTCTCCAGGGCTTTGCTCATTTTTTTCAGTCTTTTCTCTCTCTTCTTTGAGATCATTTCAATTGATTAATCTTCAAGTTCCTAAACTCTTTTTATATCTATTTTCCTGTTAAACCAATCCCATGAATTTCCAATTTAGATGTTGTATTTGTTCTACAATTTCTTTTGGTTCTTTTTTTGTGTTCCCCTCTGCCCCCCGCCCCTCACATTTTCTTTTTTTCTCATTGGAAGCATATGTTGTTCCCTTACATCACTGAGAATGGTTGTAATTGCTGCTCTAAAAAATCCTGTCTGCTAAATTCCAAGTTAATTTTCTTTTACTAAAGGAATGAGTGTCATTCTCATTTTTCTTTGTATGTTGCAGAATTTTGTATACTGGAAAATATTTAAACAATTAATGTGATTAGACAAATTGCAGACTCTGTCCCTCGGGCAGCAGGTCTATTCTCAGTTCATGTCTTTAAGTGAGCAGCTTGAGTTGGTTTTGCATACAAGGTTCAGCCAAAGATACAGATAGGGAATTGGGGGATTCCTTTTCTGGCTTTTTCTTTTCTAAGACTTCCCTTTTCTCTCTAGTGGCTGCAGTTGCCCTGTGTCAGTACTCTGATTACCTCTGCCAGAAAGGCTGTAATTCTACCAGATACCTGGGCACCATGTACATCAACAATGCCTACTCTCAATCTACAAGTGTACAAAAAGTGGGCAATTACTCTGTAGAACTTCCCTCCGTTGTGTACTTCACCACAGAATTTGCCTGATTCTCTTCATTATTCAATGATACAAGGTAGCTCCCTTTTTGAATTATGTCCTCTGCAGAAGAGTTAAATCCAGTAGGAAGTTGTTGAGCCATTCCCAGGACCAAAAGCATTCTGGCATTTTGGCTATATCTCTGTATTATCTTTTTAGTGGTTGCTCTAGGGATTATAATACACATCTAGAAATAGAATTTTAGGTTGATTTTTCCTTAGGCACTTCAAAGATGTAATTCCATTATCTTTGGCTTACATTGTTTCTGACGTGTCAGCCATCATTGCTGTTTTTGTTCCCTAAATTGAATGTATCATGCTTCCCTGGCTGCTGTAAATTTTTACTTTATCTTTAATTTCCAGTAGTTTTATGTGTCTAGGTATGATTTTTTTTAGTTTTGAACTAAAGAACTAAACCTCTTGGATGTTTGGTTAACCATCTTTCATGAGTTTTGGAAAATCTTTAGCCAATATTTTTATTTATTTTTTAAAAATATTTTCTCTCTCCCCCTTCCCCTTTCCACATCTCCCCCTCTTCCCCTCTCCCCCTCTTTTCTTTTCTCCCTCCCTCCTTTATTTTTTACACCTACAGCACCCAGTCCTCCTAGGTGGTCTCCCATCCAAGTACTAACCAGGCCTGACCCTGCTTCGCTTCCGAGATCAGTCAGAATCAGGTGTATTTAGGGTGGCATGACCATAGACTAGCCAATATTTTAAAATATTTCCCCTGCCCAATTCTTTTCACAGCGTGTGGAACTCCAGTTGCATATATATGAGATCATTTGGTATTGTTTCACAGGTCTCTGATGATAATAGTTTAAATTTTTTTTTTTCTCTCCATGTTTCAATTTAGATATTTTCTATTGACCTGCCTTTGAGTTTACTGTTCTTTTTCTCCTATTCTGTCAAGTCTCTTTTATATCCATCCATTGTTAAGAATTTTAGTCTTATTTTTTAGTTCTAAAATTTCACTTAGTTCTCTTTAACAGCTTCCCTTTTTCTGCTAAAATTCTCGATCTCTTCATTCTATTTTTTACACTACATCCTTCATATTTAAATTATTACTTTA